AGTGGTTTCCTGCTCGTACAGCATCAACCCAGCTTGTTTGTATAGCTCCGTTGGCTGCCTTGAAGATGAGAGAAGGACTCAATACGCTCCCATCCGAACAAATACACGCCACAACGGTGATCCACTCACTTGAGCCATCCTCAAGCGGTTGGCGTACCCCCTTTTTATCCCAACGTGCCTTAGAGAAGATACGCTTTGTTCTGCCAATCCTTCCAAGTTGAAACCCCTTTTCGTCCATATTGAATATATGGGAGGGTTGGACGTTGTACTCCTCTATCTTTTCAACCAGAAGCTTGAAATACAAGCTGTACTTGGCTCCTGAATCGGCGTTGCAACGAAGTTTGCTCATCCCCTTGCTGTGGGCAGAGATGAGATGGTTGGGGTGCCGGCGGATGAACCGGTCAACCCAGCTTTCTGAAACCGGCTTTCCAGCCAAATCTGAAGCAAAGCGTTGTATCATTTCCTTCGTAGGTGGCCAAACGTCGTTCGGTAAGCGTATCGATGTATCGTACAAGCTCCTTCTCGTGTTGTGGATGGAGGGAGAGGTTGCGCACGCCATAGGCCTTAGTTTCGCCGCGGTGTCGTCTCATCAACGTCATTCGTGCTACACCATGCTTTTTCGCGATTGCTTGATACGAGAATTTATCTCCTGGTTCTCGCGATTCGATTTCTGCAATCGCTTCTTGAATCGGGTCCATATTGGTTGAGTTTTGACGCGTTGAAGTTTTGTTGTTGTGGTGGTGGGGGTGCTCAACTGGCGATGGTGCTCATCTGGTGCACGGGCACTGTAATCTCTACCTAGTTTACAGAGGATCTGCCACGCGACTAGGTGATCTAAGTTAGTCCTACTAGCTAGACGAACAACGATCTAGCGCTTGACTGGCTTCGTCACTTTGATTCCTATGCGCGGCCTGTGGGGACGCATAGGCTGCTTATTATTGACGGCCATGAGAGCCACTGCTCGGTGGATTTCCGAGATCTCTGCGAAGAGATGAAGATAATCCTCCTCTGTAGTGTGGGTGGTCAATGCGTGCAACGGGTCAGACAATGCAACACCCCCTGCATCTCCCAAAGTAGAACCCACCAATTTCAAATCCCCACAACTCCACCACTATGACAGCTATCGAAAAAGCGCTTGCGGCAATTAATTCGCAAAGTCTAGAAGGACAAATCTCGTACCGTGCAGCTGCAAGAATATATAGTGTTGCAGCATCAACTTTAACGCGTCGCCACTAAAATAAAACGCAGTCGCGTGCAGCCACTGCACACCTACGACGACTACTCTTACTATAACAAGAGAAATACCTTGTCTAGCACATAGAAAAACTCTCTAAGCGTAGTACTCTACTGTCCTAAGAGATAATTAAAAAATATATTGCTAATATTGTAAAAAGACAGCTATCTAACAGCTAGGTTACAAGATTTCTTTAGCGGAACAGAGAGAAAATTATCACTAGAAACACCGCTGGCATTAACTAAAACCGCAAAAAAGCTGACGATTTTGAAGATTACTATAATTACTTCTATCTACTTCACAATTATATCGAGAAATACGATATCTAGCCGCAAAATATCTATAATATGGACGAAAAGGGCTTTCTCTTTAGTGTCACTTTAAGGACTAAAAGGGTGTTCTCTAAGAGACTTTAGGATAAAAAGAAAGTTCGAGCAGCTGTTAGAGACAGCAGCAGGGAGTGGATAACAACTTTAGACTATATTTGTGCTAACGGGAGCTAGATATCGCCTATGATAATCTTTGAGAGCAAAGCTGGACTTCGAAACAACTAGGTAGAGCACCTAGATCCTTCCCAACACTAGATGTTTTTTGCTACTAGCGACTCGGGCTAGAGTAACAATATCCTAGGGCTATCTTAGCTTAAGCAGGTGTTTTAGCGCCAAACGAAAGACAAAGCAAAGCGCGATTATTAGTTGCTGATCCTAGACAGTTATGGGAGTCATCAGACTCCAAGTTTTCAAGAGTTTTGTAACTCTAACAGGATTCTCCTAGCTACTCTCCCTTCCTACTCATCTCACCAACTCTAGCCACTCGACGTTAGCATGTTTAAGCCCCTCTCGAGCGCGTATACTAAAAAACTTAATAGTCTATCCTACTATAGTCAAGGCTTAGTAGAGGTGCACAAAAGTGACTTTTTATAGTTATTTTAGGCGGCGTGGACACAGGCGTTCACGTCTAACAAGATACTAAGCTGTTTTTAAGCTACTAGCGTCCACCTGTAGGATAGTAATACCGTGCTTAAACATCTTAAAAAGTTAACACTATAACAAGATATTAATCTAGAACTTGGAGAGCATGGTGATAGGGATACTGCAAGAGAGCTATCTGATTTTCTAGACAAAACTATAACGGGTTGTGCTAAAGTTATAGTCTCTGCAGTAAAAGACACTATTGCTTCACTTTAGGTTAACAACGAGATTTTGCACCACGAAAACACTAATCTACGAGAAGTACTTGCTATTAAAAATTATCTAAAGAAGCAAAAGAAGCCTCTAGAGCTCTAGCAAAGCAAGCAGTATCATACTCCAGCGGTGGTGTGGAGTCCTAGGACAATAGAAGATGCGAGAGCTCAAGAACGTTAAAAAAAACACCAAGAAGAGCTTAAAAAACTCTAAAAAAAAAGAGAAACAATAGGAACGAGCTGCTAGTATAGCTCTACGAGAAAAATTAATAGACGAGGCAAGCACTGCGCGGGAGTTAAAGAAAATAGCAAGGGATAAAGAGAGAGAAGTGAGGGCCAAAGAACTCTAGTTAAGACGCGCCTAAAAAGCTCGCGATCGCGCAGTCGCAACTTTAAAAAAAGCTTGCGATAAGCAAAATATACCTAAACGAAAAGCTTTATCGTCTCAAAAGTCAAAAAAGTCAAAGGGTGGTGGTGATGCAGGCAGCCAAAGTGGTGGTGCGTCTGCATCGTCGGCTGCGCAGCCCACCACCAAAACAACGATGCGTGGCCGCAACATCAAACTGCCAAAGAAATTTGAGTAGATAGGATTGTTTTTTGAACTATTTAGACTACTCTACTAAAAAATCTCGTAATAATAGCTTTTGTATGGTGCTCTACAGCCTCATTTTTAATAGGCAGACATTTTAGTGGTGGTGTTGCATTGTCTGACCCGTTGCACGCATTGACCACCCACACTAAGCGTTGCGATACGCTAGCTTGCGAAAAGCGCTTAGCTTGTGATGCAATTAGCAACAATACTTATAGAGGAGAATAAGAAGCTACGTGCAGAAGTCTAGCGTTAATAATAACAGCAAGAATAGCCACGTTAATATATTGCTTTTAGTGGAGCTCTTAAGGTGCGATAGGCTTAGTAGCTTACTATAGAGGCAGAAAGAGTGGTTGTAGAGGCTAAATAGGGTGAGAGCAGTTAGCGACGTTAGCGCGCGCCGCTAACGTGCACAAAGTGCCACGTTTAAGGTTATAAAAGAACTTAGTGTAGAGCTAGATAATAAATTATATTTTTTAAGTTTTATCTTATTTTATTACGTTGTTGTGACTTAATTGCGTAGAACGTTAGGTCAAGTTTAATAGGGTGGGCCACTGACTGATGTGGGCCGCTTACTGATAAAACACGTTAGTCTTTAGCGCTTACCTAAACTATAAGATAAGCTATTGTTATTAAGGATAAGATTTAGCTATACTAACTTTGTTACAGAGACTATGGATAGTTAAATTAAGTATTTAAATTTTAATATAGCTAAATTAATAAAAGCGGAATGAAAATTGAACGTATAGGTTATCTATTCTATATATACTTACAGTTTTCAGAATTCCTATATCTATAATTTTTTATATTAAATACTTAACCCTTGACTTATAATATCTAGGCCTTGTGATAGCTAATTAGATTACACTCCCTCCTAATTCTACTAATAGCTCTATTTATTCTCTTTAGGATTGTAACGGGCTAGGTAGCCCGCTACAGTACAGATAGCGGTGGCTATCTTATGTATCAACTACGCAACGATATCAGCAGCTCTGATATCTTGTGCCAGCCTTTTTGGCGCGGTGGGCGCGTTGTAGTTGCGTGCGCAGTCTAATAGGACTCGACCCGTTACAAGGATATAAATATAGGTGACGTAGATTGTAAGTCTGCTCTAGCTAGATTAGAAGTATGTATATTTACTATAAGAATAGAATTTTACTAATATCGTTTTAGACAATACTTAAATGTAAAGATATAAATGCTTAGGCCTATGCTAGGCATTACACGCAAAAGGTAATACTAAAAGTTCTTATCTTCTACACTTAGAACTAATAGTAAGTTAGTGTAGACTTAATAATAGCTGTAAAGGGTTGTAGAACTAAGAGAAAAATTAGTGTGATTACTAGTATAATTCGCGTTAGTAAAAAGACGTAGCACTCTTGAACACTAATTACTTTTGCTTTGTCTATAGAAGTAAAGTTAGTGTATTTATATGTCTAGCTGGCAAAGGCGTATAGTATATAGGTGTTACAAGGTAACAAGAAGGATCCTCTCCTTGACAACGGACGGGAGATAGGAAGCCTATGGGCGTCCACGTCAGAAGGTAACGATCAGCGCGGGGCGCGGATCACGTGACTGACATCTCGCCAAGACGCGACATCTTGCCAAGAAGACAGATGCCACGACCTCGGGAGATGCCAGGACATCTCGGACATCTCTAGATGCCAGGCCTCTGGGAGATGCCACAGATGTCAGGGCCAGAGGCAATGGGTATAAGAATGGGTTGGATTTCATTATTACACTCGTTGTGGTCAACTCTTCAGAATAGTTCATCTCTTACACAGATTGATACTAGTTATTCTATCTTAGTATAGAATTGATTGTTCATTCTTTTGGTTAAATCCTATAACTCTTTTCCACATAGCACTTCGCAAACAATCACACGGACTACCGCTTTAGTCTACTCGCCCTAACCCGGACCGAGACCAGAGAAGTATAGCCGACCCCCGTGTAACAATAGGACTAAAAGTTTGTAGGTAACCTTGTCTTTAAAGACTAGAAGTTGAAGAGTCCCTACTTATAGATTAACTAGTTAATAATAAAATGGTCTCCTCTAGATAGGCTATATGTTAACTCGCAATTATTTAACGATCTAATTGTAAGAGGCTACGCCTAAAGTGTGTGTGTGATCGAGTATATCTATACGACTACCTAGACTTCAAGAAGCTTGAAGTCTTGTTACTGCCTTTTTGGCAATGGATGGCGTAAGTAGTCGTACGCTCGGCCCGTTGGGCCCGCCCATTACACTAATATTGCTAAAGTATAAAGCAAAGTTGTAGAGTTATAGTAATAGTAGAATTACTATAGAATTAGTCGATAACTTATAGGGTATCTAAGAGAACAAAATAATATATTTTGTATAGAAGATAGTGTAGCTATAGTTTTATCTATAAGGACAGCTATACTAGAAGTATAGCTAGAAGTATAGCTTACTAGTTATTAGGAAATGCGTAACTAAATTACATAATTAGATAAATTAGACTAGTAGACTAGTAGTCTAATTGCTTCTAGTCTAAGATAAAGTTTAACTTAAATAGTAATGTTAGCTATAGGATAGAAATTACTGTCTATAGAATGGTGCAAAGACACCTGACTAGAACACTAGTATAATACGCTGTATGCGTTAGTTATATTGAATATTCTATTTGCCTATAAAGTTTAAAGTCTTAGGTTTAAGACGTAGGGAAAAGACTATATTAAATTCTACTCAAGTGCTAGAGTTAAGTAAGTGTAATTAGTATAGATATGTTCATATTACACTACTTTTACTATAAGCTTTTAGTTATTTTATTGCGTTATTTAACTGCCTATTATAAGGCATAACTACAAGTAGAAATAATTCCTAATAATGTATACTGCTTTCTTATTACCATATCTAGGTTATAGGGCATAATAACTTGAATATTATGTATTGATACTCTATTACGTTATAGAATCTGCTTTGTTAGTAAATTAAAATTACTTTTAAAATATAAGCCTAGAAATAAATTTTATGTTATAGAAATAATGGTGAAAGAAGGGCTAAAGATAAGTAGGTAAGGCGAACGTGCTAATGAATGCGGACCTACTACGCTTTTAGCTTAGTACCTACTAATCTAGAAGAAAAGGCAAGATCCTAGAAAACTCTGTAGCGCCTAGCACTAGACTATAATATCTTAAGGAGAGACAGAAATTAGAATCTAATTAGCACGCTAATAATTAACCCCTATTGAGAGAGAAATGCAGTATAACTTGTCACCGAGAGCAGTCTTTTTACGATTGATAGATCCACTCTGCATCAGCACTGTCTCCGCCGCCACCGTAAGCCTGTGATACTGCATAGACGATATTACTAAAAAAGAAACTTATCCAATACGCTGATTGCTGATTGCATACAGGTACGTTTCTGCGAAACGCTAATTTACAGTAATGATGATCTCTGCATGTTTCACAATCTGACTTACTCGTTAGTCAGCTTGCCACTACAACCATGAAGTCATCTCTTACGATCTTCGTCGGCTTGATGGCCTTGCTTATCGGTCCTGCCCTGGCATGGGATGTCTGCGACGATTGCGCTACAGGTTTTAGGACCAAGACACGTTATCGTCGCTGTGGAAATGGCATCACAAAACACTGCACTTTGTATTGCAACCGCGATACTATTGGCACTGGGAAACAAGCGTGCTGTGTATGTATTTCTCGGTTAGACAAAAAAGGTGATTTTTTTCACTAACTTGGACAGAATTTTGGCTGTTGAAAAGGGCTATTCGTAGCAACCATGCCGAGCAATCGGATGACGCACTATGCTAACCTTTTTCTTTGCATGTTGCGCTCTGGTGCTGTTTTTAGTTCTTGACGTGTCTACAGGTTTTGCATACGCAGCTGATGCACCCGAAATCTTGTATCATATATGGTTCTTTCAACCCGCTTTCTATTTTTGGTTGCACAGGACGCTAGCTGCCAATGCAGGAATCCGCTGATCGAAAGTTTGCATCCTGGGATGGTAGTACGGAGGTGACTGTCAAAAGTTCTTGCTGACAGGGGTGCATTGATTACCGCCGAAAATAGGGCTAAAGCTATGTAGATCAGTCCCGCCGCCCCTCTTTATACTTATTGCTACCTTTAAGTTTAATAATTTCTTAAATATAAAACAAAATACGCTCTATTTAAGCTTAAACTTAGTATTAAAGTAGCTTATTCTAGTACTATTACTATACTTTTATTCTTTTTACTTAACCTTTTAGTACGCCTTTTTGTATTATTCTTCTTTTAAGCTATAGCTAAGCTATTTAAATAGTATTAAAATTAGGTAAATTACTTAGCTATAAAAGCTACTTTACCTTAGTATTCTAGTATATAGTTCTTTAAGTATAGTAAGTAGTTATATAAAAGTGCTTAATCTTTTTAAATAAAAATATATACATTTTTTTAGCACTCTTTTATGAAAGAGATTAGTATTAAGATAAGAACTTAAATTTAGTAATACTACTAATTAATACTACTATAACTACTTTTATAAGCTAGCTTACTTATATCTTTTACTTATTTCTATTATAAAACTTTACTAGGCTTATTATATAATTTAAGCTTTTTTATATTTATTATAAGCTTTTACACTTCTCTTGTAAAAGGCTTTAGAGTCTTATTTAACTTTCCAATTTGGAAAGTAGTTTTTTTTTTTTATATAGTCTTAGGCTTTTAGATATAATAAAAACTTTGATAGTTATTTATAAAGTAGCTCTAAAATTCAAATTTAGAGTAGCTTTCTCACTACTTTTAAATAATACTTTTAATAAAACCTTTATCTAAGCGTTACTATATATAATAGCTGCTATAATAATCGTTAAGAATAATAAAAGTCTTATTTAACTAAATGAGATTTTTTAATTCTTAAGTATATAATCTTTGTAAGGAAAATACTACTTAAGTCTTTTTTATTTCATTTTTATTATTAATTTAGGATTTTTTATTAGCTTTATTTTATTATGACTAGCTACTTAAAAGACTTTTTATATAGTGAATGATAAAGTATTATAGCTATAAATACTAAGATTACTAGTAATATTATTGTAGCTTTTTTTATACTTATTATAGTATAGGTTCTTAAAAGTAGTATTATATATTTTCTCTTATTTATAAAGGTAGCTTATACGTAAGGTATCTTTAAAGTATTATAAAAAGATTTTAATTAAGCGTACGTTAGGCACAAAGCCTAATTAGTAGGCTTTACTATAAATCAAGTTAATTATATATAGTAATATACTTGTTATTTTTATAATTCCATGTATAAATTGACTACTAAAAGGTAACTTTAATATAATAATAAAAAAGTAGATTAATATATCTATATTCAGAGCTATAGTAAATTAAAAATACTTAAAAATAAGTATATAAGCTATTGCTAGCTTTAAAGAATTGGTATAGGCACTAAGAATAGTTAGGCTAATAGGCTAGCGGCTTAGCGTGGCGCTAGCAAGAACTTTTGACAGTCACCTCCGTATGGCCTGTCAAAAGGCACTCACCGCCTTTTTCTGCGCTTGGTGCGATAATCTCTATCTCCTTGAACCTTTTGTTAATCTGCAGCACACAGATACCTTTGCATTCCGTGCGGTTACACACATATATAATGAACGAGTTCCCCGCTGCGCATTCATGTAAAACTCCAGAAAAAGCATTCTGAGTATACTTTGTATTTATCTTTCCTGTATCTTAAGACGACCAAATACCCGCAATAATGAAGTCGTTTTCTGCAATTTTTGTCACCTTGACTACTCTCGCCATGTGTTCAACTGGTGTACTTGGACGTAAACAGCAGATGTGTCTTCCATGTGGCCAGCAGGGTGAATATGATGTTTCAATTCCTTGTCCAGCCGGCAAGAAAGGTGGCTGGTCAGGCCGAGTGTCGTGTCCGACTGCTGAATCATTGATATGCCACGTATGTATCTCGTGCTGCTTCGGATGCTGAGCCATACTAATACATGCATAGGAAGTTGACTGTCATTGATTGCATGGTTCTGCCGATATCCCTCTTCAATAGGTTATGGTTGGTGGTCTGGAAGGGTGTCAGCTTCTGGCGGCTGGCTCACATGTCAAGTCGTGTATCCCCAAAATGTAGCGAATTGAGGTCAGGATGGTGTTCCCTTGTGGACTGTTTTTTATTTTCGAAATTATGCAAAATCTGATTCAGGCGAGGAATGCTGCGTCCGTGTAAGGCCGCTATAATCTGACGTGATGTGTAGCCCAAGCTCATGGGCACTGATACGATAGCGAATTCGATTACAGGTCAGACGTTGATGACATGTGTTTTTGAGCTGTGGGGTGCACCTTGGCGTTGCATAGTGACATGCGGAGACCCTCTTTAGACACAATGTCAAGAAGGGCTGAAGTGTCTCGTTTTTCAAAGAGTCGTCTAAAGAACAACCAGGGTCAGAACTCGAATAAGCTAGGGGGTTTTACACACGGGCCGGTTGCAGTTTACATACGGGTGCACACACCGACAACTTCCAAGTCTTGGCCCTTGTGCAAATCTGTCGGTGAATTCCCACGTATACGGAGGAACTTGTTATTAATGTGTCACTCTATAGCCACGCGGCCATGCAGGACAACAACACAACAAAGTTAAATGTTGTCCTCGTCAAGCTCAGCGGCAGCGATTATGAGATTAAAGTATGTATCGTATAGAGTCAAGGTTACAATATCCCACTGTTGGAAAAGAGAGTGAAGAGAAGGGGAAATACGTGGATAATGGGTGGGGGCCGCGACAGATATGAACTCGTTCGTATAAGTATGAGTGGTTATGTAAATACTAGACGTAATGTGCTCGATAAAGGGGGGCGGTATATGTTGCAATGGGGCTACTACTAGTACAAGCACACAGGAGTGACTATTGGTGATAGACACATAGATGCTAGCATGCTTGGTGTTGAGTGGATGCAATGCATCCCACTCACTGGCCGGCCGCACCTTGGACCGGGCCGGTCGTCGCTGTGGCTTTGCACATGCGATTGCGCGACGCCACACTTTATCGTGACGATAAGTATCCAGTTTTTGGCAAGATATCTGCCACGTCTCGTCTGGGCTCCATGGACGTGTAGCTTGATCGGCTTCTTACCTAAGTACGTACATAGATACTTGCTTGCAGCCTTCAACCCCGCATCCCCTCGACAGACGCATCTCGTCAGCTCGGATATCCCCCCACCATGGCCCCCTCTGCCGTTCAAGTGGAGCCAAGACAGCTGCCGCAGACCAAGCAGCTGGTCCCACGCTCCAAAGAAGACGCATCCAAGGAGTTGACGCCCCTCCAGGCCATCTCGCAGGGCATGTGTCTTCCCAGCGTGCCGCTCTTCTCGTCGTACGACAAGCAGCGCGCATGGATCCTGTCTCACATGGCTGGTCAGTCTTAGCATAGATACAGCATCCGTCGACATGCACTTGGTAACACGGCACAGGCGCCTTTCGTATCTTCGCCAGGAACGGCTTCACCGAAGGCATGAGTGGCCACATTTCCGTCCGCGACCCCGAGAACCCCCACACCTTCTGGACAAACCCACTCGGAAAGCACTTTGGCCTGATCAAGGCATCAGACATGGTGCTCGTTGACTACGAGGGCAAAGTAGTCGGCGGCAACCAAAGCAGGCCCGCCAACGCTGCCGGCTTCCTGATCCATTCGGCGGTGCACAAGGCACGGCCCGATGTCAATGCAGCGTGCCACTGTCACGGCAGGGCAGGCAAGGCCTGGAGCGCTTTTGCGAGGCCGTTGGAGATGCTCAACCAGGACGCCTGCTACTTTTATGGCGACGCCCAAGCCGTATACAAGGACTTTGGCGGTGTTGTCTTCAGCGAGGAAGAGGGCAAGAGACTGGCCGCCGCCTTGGGGCCAAAAGGCAAAGCCATGGTCCTGCGTAACCACGGCTTGCTGGTAGGTGCCAGCTTCCCATTGCTCATGCTGCATCCGCTAACTCTTCCCAGACGGTAGGAAGCACAGTTGATGAAGCAGCATACCTCTATACGCTGATGGAGCGCTCGTGCCAAGTCCAGCTACAGGTCGAAGCTGCTGCCGCCAACGGCATTCCAAAGGTGTACGTGGATGACGACGCGGCATCCTACACCTTTGAGATGGGCAGCGATGCGGAGACGCTGTATTGGGAACTCCAGCCCGATCTCGAGTACGAATATGAAATGAGCAACGGCAACTTTGCGCACCCTGACTGCGATGAGGTTGTTTGGCCCGGATATTAGAGCACCCTTCACGACACTTTTGCAAATAGATAGGAATACTAGATGATAAAAGGTGCTCCAATGTTATGCCTCTTCCGCCTTGTCCGCTACCCGATGGCGCTTTTGAATCGTACTACTGGATATGCCAACTCTGCTATGACCGAGAGGTGCGGGCACCATTTCGGCACATGTTTCGGTATGCAGGAGACGGGGCTTGACTTCCACATCTACCATGTGCTGACTCTCTCGTCATTCGCAATGGTTTCATCCAGGATAACAAACTTTGACATGGGATGAAACTGGCGAAGCAAAAAGAAATTGCAGTAGACGTCACCCGCGCGGGCTGGTGGTGGCAAGCCATGCCGCCACATGCACCATGTATGTATATGTTTCACGCAGCCTTGGAATGAGACCGAGAGCCTCGACGGAAAACCCTCGTCAAGTCGGATCATGGCCAGCCATCGTGACATAGCGCCGCGTCCCCCGGATCCAATAACTCGCCCCCCCCCCAGCGACCACGACGGCTACGGCTGCCAAGGGTATTAATAGCGCAACACGTGCCGCCGCCATTCCCGCTTGGCCATCGCGCGTCGCCGTAGCCTGTCAACCCTGTCGCACGCGGCGTACAAAGGTCTCTGGCCAAAGTCATTTCCGATCCCTATCCCCATCACCTTGTGCATCCTGACTGTACTTACTTGCTGCATAAAAAGGGCTAACAAGGACGCAGTGCGACGGGGCCAAGACATGGAGGCGCTTTCCAGGCATTTCGAGCAAAACCACGACGATGCTGCTGAGTCTCCGGTTGCAGCACTTCTCACGGTGCCAGAAGTCATGGACCACACCCGCGTCTATCGTCCGTCCGAAAGGGCCAGAGCAAAGCAACCGTCTTGGCACCCCCGGCCGAACTAGCAGACTATTTCTACGCTGTTGCCAAGCATGGTCTTGACTGGGCCATTCTGCACAACCCCTTCCGTGCAATCAAGATATGTGCGCTTCTTGCAATGTACAATATAGTTGTCAACGTTTTCGCTCCTGCAAATCACACACCGGCCCTTTAGCCGACTCGACAATGTCGTAACCCATGAGACGCTGTCGAACCGTGCCGAGACAACAACGGGGACGCATTGGGAATGCGAGTATGAGCTCAAAGGCACAGACGGCCATGCTCACGACACACTGCATGCTCCCAACAACATCGCCTCCACTCCATTTGCAAAACGACCGTACCTACAGCCCGAGGCGCAGGCCTGGACTAAATGGACACCATCGACGTGGCAAAACTCCTTCAAAAGAGACTCCAGGTAGCTAGCCCAAATGCCTCATTCATTGCTCCTCGCAAATGCACATGTCAATATCAGTACGACGAATCAGGGCAATACTGTCATCATAATTTCATTCAAGTCGTCGTCATCTTGTATCTTCTAGGTGGACCAGCCAGTCTTTTACCAAAGATTCATTTAGCAAACGGCATGAGTCTTGCCCGTCTTGCCCTGCAGACTGTGCTTCTCTTCAAAGTGATCCGTGGCCTGCCTCTTAAAGATGGGACTGACGAGCGTCGAGCGGCGGCGCATAGCAAATGCATGTCTGGCATTCTGTTAGTATGTGCCATGGATCAAAATGCGCCCGGCCATGCAAAACTTACTGTCTCTGGTCTTCAATCTTCTTGGCATCGAGCGCGTCGAGTGTTTGCAAAGCTTGCCGAAAGTCTGCAAGTAGCGCGTCACACCGAGATTTGGTAAAGTCCTCACGGACAACGACACGCAGCATCTTCATCTTCTCCGAATGGGGCGCCATGGTGTAGGCGGGCACTACCCAGCCGCGCTCACGGAGCTGGTGTGCAATGGCAAACTCGTCGTACTGCTTGTCAAGATCCTCGTCAATGCGGCATGCGACGAGCGGGAGACCTTGGCCTCCGCGTTGGCTCATGATGACGAAGCCCATGGACTCGAGATTTGCGGCTAGGTAGTCGGCAATGCGTGTCAGGTTCAGCATTATCCTCCTGTAGCCACGCTTTCCAAGACGAATGAGCTGGTAGTACTGTCCGATAATCTGCGAGGCTCCACGCGAGAAGTTGAGGGTAAAGGAAGCCTGGTCAGCACCAAGATAGTTGATGGTGAAGACAAGCTCCTGGGGTAGGTATTGGGGGTCTCGCCAGACGACCCAACCCACACCAGGGTAAACAAGGCCATACTTGTGTCCTGAGGCGTTGATGGTGGTAACCTTGGGAAGACGGAAGTCCCAGAGAAGGCCGGGGTTGACAAAAGGAGCGACAAAACCACCTGAAGCAGCGTCGACGTGAATGTTGACATCAATGTCTCGCTCGACCAGTAGGTCATTGATGGCCTTGATGTCTTCATACTCGCCAGTGTATGTTGTTCCGAGAATTGCGCCTGTTGTGGATTAGCCACGCCCAAACATTGTGAATGATTGATTGAGTGCATACAAATGCCAATGGTGTTCTCATCAACCAAGTCTACGCATTCTTTGGGGTCAATGACGTAGCGATCGGGTGTACAGTAGACATATTTCTCTTCAATGTCAAAGTATCGGCATGCTTTCTGCAAAAACGAGGTTAGCATGATTGGTCTTGTAGCGCCGGTTGGTCGAGCTCAAAATGAAGCCACTTACCTCCCAGCAAACCTGCACTGCCGAGTTCATGATCAAGTTGGGCTTGTCGAAGGGCTTTCCCTCGGCCTTGCGCTTGTTTTGCCAAAGCTTCTTCATTGCCAGTACACCCAGCTAGACAGCGTCAGCTCCAAACTCTGGCTATTTGCTATTCTGGTACAAACCATAATGGCCTCTGAAGATCCAATTGTCGAAGTACCAATAATGTTTGCATCGTCTGTGCTCGGTGCGTTGAACAGTCGAGCAATCATGGAGACACATCCTGTATACAGCTCAGTCGGTGCCAGAAAAGCCTTTTGCTTGTTTTCGCGTACGTACGGTTCTGGATATCGGCGCTGACGGGGTATTCTTCGTAGTCAATAAAGTTCTTGGAGAAGGCGTCGCTGGATGGCACGGTTACTCGCAAGTTCAATAGAGGAGGAGCAGGTTATTTCGCATACACCATGAGCTTCTCAGCCTCGTCTTCCTGTGCAGAGTGTTGGCATTTAGCAGCTTGACAAGCATGGACTGGGGTGCATACCATGTAGGTGGTGACGAAAGAAGCCAAGTTGAGCGTTGGTGTTCCGTCGAGGGTAAGGTCATCCTTGATCATGCGGTAGGCCCTGAAGGAGAAGTGAGCGGCTTGTTGCAACGGGGCTGCTTGGAGGGCAGCAGCAGTACGTACACCTGGGGCGGCATCTCTCGCTCCTAGTTTTCCGGTCAGCTTGCGGGGCTTTGCAAAGGCCATGTTGAGAGCATGAACAAACTCACGGGCATCTCATGCCTGGGCAGGTCTTCGGCGGCATACCTGCTGCCATAGACGGTTGCCGTGAAGTCATCCAGCTCGTCGTCCGGGGTCAGATTGATGGTGCTGACGGCGGCAATGTCGTCGAATTGGGCCCTTTCCTCGTCAATCTCCTTGGAGGTGGCTACGCGGTTGATGTGCACCATGGTTGTGGATTGTTGGTGAACGAGGAGGGGGAGAGAGGGTGGTGGTGGGGGAGGGGAGGGGGGGGGATGGCGTAGGAGGAGGGGCAACGGGCAGCTTAATATGCCTCAAGACACGAACGCACATGTACGCGCGTAGGCAGGAGCTAATGTCGAGTGCTCGTAAGCCACAGGCCAATGTGCACTCTAGGACCGATAGCATCCGTGGCAGCTCAACAGCACAGCAGCAAGGGAGCACAGCACAGCACGGCGAGCGGGCGCCCCACCACCAAAGCGGCGCTTACCTCGTTCCACGGCGTGCGGCTGGCCGACTTGCAGCAGCTGATGGGTGCTCACAGCAAAGATGCGTCGCAGAGCGTGGCCGGGCGCCATGGCGGGGTACTGGGTTGATTGGTTGATTACTACCTGGATCCATGGTCTACTTAGGCGTCGACGTGCCTGGCTAAGCCTTTTTGCCTCGAAGCTTGTCTTGTGAGCAGCAACACAGCGCAGGCGCCCATGCACACCGCCCTTCACCCCCCTTGGCTGCTTGCGGACATGGGCTAGCTGCTTTGGGCCGGCTAAGAGCGGGGTAGAGGGGGGAGCCATGCCACGCCCTGCCATGCGCCGGGGGGGTTCCGCCCGCCACAACACCGCGGGTGCACCGCCCGATCCATCTCATGTCCCTACATGTCGGCCCCTCGTACTTGGTCGTATCATGGCTGTCGCTGTCGCTGTCGCTGTCGCTGTCGCTGTCGTGCCCTCTCCACTGCGCCATTTTCACACGCGCATGCTGTTGAGTCTTCCCGACACCCAACCGACTATATGTACGCCCAGTCTCCGCCCCCACACTCGACCTGGCATCCTTGGCTTTTTTCCGTCTGCCACGCATTGGCTCCCACCTGTCGTGCAACTTGGAAAAGAAGGTTGCGGGTACAACGCGGCGCGAACCTAGCATACACGTCCGCGGGCCACCATGCTTGTCATCGGGGGGGAGGGGGGGGGGCTATCCTTATGTACCAATCCCCACATAGGACCCCCCCGCTTCATCACCTCCATATGCCTTTCACCCATACTATTCATCCTACAGCCAACTTGCCGCCCTATACCACATCGCCCACCCAGCCTACAACATGGCTCATCCTCCGAGCCCCCTCCCCCCATTCATCCCTTAGTCCATGGATCCCAGTCTCATTGCACCAAAGACAAAAGGCCCCAAATATGTGTATTATCCGACCTGTCTCCAATACAGCACTGCCGCCGTTGCCTGTACTGGGGGTCCACGCCCATATATCTGTGTGTGTGTGTGTGTGTGGCATCCTCAGCCAACACGATTGCTGCTCGTCTTCCCACTTCAGATAATATTCGCTATGCTGATACGACTGGTGCTCGAGGGGGCTGGGCTGGGCTCCGACGCAGCTTTTGGCGGCGAATACGTGTCCGACGCAAGTTGCACTCGCTTGACGGGATTGTGTGGGGGTGGATAGTAAGTCGGTCCCTGTGTAGCTCGGTAGAGACGCTCGTCCACCAATTGCCGCACCAGGCCCTCCACCCGGCCCCAGTCGTCCCATTCTGCGCTTCCATTCAATCCTGCACCAAATGGCCCTCGTGACAATGGCGCCTCTCGCATCGCTTCTTCGCCTGCTGGTGACCTTGTCATGCCAGGCAGCGCATCCTGTCTGTACCCTGATGGCGCCATATTCGATCCTGCCCAGACCCAAGAATGCTCTAGACTACCCTGCGTGTCAGCACTCAGGTAGGCAATCATCTCCTCATCCTGTTCCAATTGTTTGCTGCCTCCCACACTATTCCGCACCTGGTCAAATAGCCGCTCTAGAAAAAAGCACATGTTCCTCCCGCAGCCTGCATTGATGTTGCGTGCACTGCCAATAGACCTCGACAGGTGTAAGCACACCAAAGCTGCATCATACTCGCCCCGGAAGCACAGTATCAGAATGCATCGCCACAGATGCAAGCATACCACATTGCTCGCAATCAACGCCGCATTCTCTGTCCATGCCTTGGCTGCGTCTAGCATCGAAGTGTTGCATGACACCCTCGACACGTACTTTGCCGTGTCTTGGGCCACAGACACGCACCGCTCCAGCGCGTTGCCCCGCTCCACAGCACCAGACACGGGTGAGAGGTTGCGCCGGTAGAGATGAAAGCGAGCCGAGAGTAGAACAAACACGGTCGGCAATGCCTTCGCGTCCAAAATAGCACTCGAGTCTGGCTGGTAAGCCTCTGGCAGGAGGAGGAGCTTGGAGCGAAGCTGTTCGTCAAAGCTTGCCATTGTCTGCGGGAGAATGGTGCTCGACTTGAGTGCCTGCTGCAACGGCGCGTAGAGGCGTGTCATGTGTATGGTAGCCACGAAATCGTTGAAGTGAGTTGCTTTTGTAAAGGGCCCAAAGGCCTCGTTAGGCTGAATGTAGCGGTCGTCTACCGATGTCGGAAGCGACAGCTCGCAATCGTTCTCGTTGATAAGCATTGGCCGATTCGTCTCGAGGGAAACCATGCTGTGTTCCAGTCAGCTGTGTGCACCTAGCCTGTACGTACGAGGCATGTCTGTGACTTACCGGTCACGGACGTAGACGGACCACCAAAGTCTACGTCTAACCTCGGCATCAAATGCAGACCAGCAGTCGAGTTCAGGGCTAATCTGTAACTCGTGTACAATCCTTACTGCAGATGCAAGCCAGATGGAGCCGAGAGAGCGTTGATTGCTCTCGGTTGCGAATATACTCATCAAGAGAGCCGCTTGAGCATGGACCATGGTGAGATGTTGGGGCCAAGGCTGAAGAGCAGAAGAGGCAGTGTCAAACATGGCCTGGCCTTCTTCTGGCATCCCTGGAGAGACTCTGTAGTCGGATCTGCGGCGCAGAGAACCACAGGCCAGTACTGCAAAGAACAAGCCAATCCATGCGCGAGAGCAACCGTCAAAGGTCCGCGCGGCATAAACTTGGTCAACCTTGTGCTGAAATGTGGGCCAGTGCAATGCAGGATACAGGCCGTGTATCGTGTCAAGGAAGGAGCGAGAAGAATAGGCATAGTCAGCATGCAGAGGTAATCGAGGCAGCGGCCAATCAGGCTCTGCAGTGCGCAGGTAGTCTTGATGGGGGGTACTGAAGACGCCGTGAGCATGCTCTCTGATGTTGTCGCGGACGCGATCAAAGTTGTCCAGGACGGGAACAGACACGCGCCGTGGGATTTGGGTGACGCCAGCGTGTATTTGGGAGTACCTGCGCTTCATATCCGTTCGCTCCGAGTCCATGGGACTCTGGTCTGCTACCCTTGTTCGGAGCTGCGAGTTTACGTGGGTCAACTCAGCAATTTGACTCTGGAGGTCCTGAACCTGTCTGCGCCAGATAAGCATCTTTGCCATGTCGCTCTACACAAGACGATGATGAATACGCACTTGATGGAAGACATGCGGCGGTTCGTCTCCTTGGTAAACTGACACCTATGGTTTCTGCTCGAGCATTCGGAACATGCAGAGGTCTCGGTAGCATCGCACTGTGAATTGTTGTCAGTGTGGAATCGACACAGGCCCGCCCCTCGCAATCCGCCAGCTCAAGCCATGCGTACAATCATGTACCTTCGCTAATCAGGCGCAGATGCCTGGAGATGCATGCTTGCTCCGTATACAGAGATGGGCCGTCGACGCCTGGGGCGAGCGCCCAAACAATGGCAAATAGGGCAGTGGGATTCTCCTCTGTCTGACTCTCTTTCTCGCTCCTACCAGCAGCCATGGTAGTGGCCGCATCCGCTGGGGACAAGTGGATCAAGGTGCTCTTTTGGGTCATTGCCGTCTCCTTGTGGATTCCAAGCTTACCTTTACTTTGCGTTCCCGACACGCATCGCACGAGGGGTCTTTCCTTCGCTGTCTGTAGGCTCTCTTTTGCGCGTTCAGATTGGTCGATGAGACCTGGGTTGGGGACATGGCCAGGCCGTTGCCATCGTGGTGTTGGACTTCGGATATGCCCGTCGAGGCCGTGCTGGGCGAAGCCGAATGGCGGTAGGAAGTGGATGGATACTTGGGCAGCCTGGAGTCCATGGGAGGCAGATTGGGTGCAGCAAGAAGAGCGGGCGGGCGAAGGGCTGGCTGGGCGGCGGCGGCAAAGGGATTGGCGGCAGATACCATGGTTTGTGGTGGTGATGGGCGGGTGGAGCTTGGGGGGGACTTGTGCATGATGCGGGACAGCACACGTGGTGGGGAGTTGTGCCGATGTCGAGGCTCGGGCTAGGATTGGTGGTGAGGGGTGTGGAGGGAATCAGGGTGCCGGCGCGGGATAGGAGCAGGTGGTATGGGTAGCGGGCGTGCACAAGGCTTCTCAGGATGGCCCCAGGGATTCGAAGACTGTGGTGGCACGAGGTAGATGCAGTCAGCCAATCAACGCGGGCGTCAATACATGATGCTGCCGTGGCGCAATGCGAGGTGCGGCGTGGGCTGGGGGGTGTGGATGGACAGGAAGGTGAAGGGCGAGGGGCCCCGTCTGAGCAAGTGCGGCGACGGGTACAGGCGCAGGCGGAGGCGGAGAGTTTGGTCGAGGTGGAGGCAACGACCTGAGGCGTATACAGGCTGCAGGCGCGATGGTCGGGCGGTGTTCCGTGTCGCTTGATCGAAAGCTCTCAGCCAACCAATGCTCCAGTGGGCGGCGAGTCCAAGCTTGGGGTAACAGTCGGGAAGGAGGGAGGGAGGGAGGGAAAGAGAAAGGGAAAGAGCGGCCCGCAGGTGGTCGACCAGGACAGCGGCGGCGGAGGGAGGGGGGATGGGTGCGGAAGTGAGCAAGTGCGAATGAGAGGGGCGTTTGCGGCTGAGCGTCGAGCGTGGGTGGCCAAGGAGAGGCGTGCGAGTGAGAGGGGCGTTTGCGGCTGAGCGTCGAGCGTGGGTGGCCAAGGAGAGGCGTGCGAGTGAGTGTGGGCGGCGAGGGGCGGAGGCAAAGGACGAGAAAGGGAATGCTCTGGCGTGAAGGCGATAGAGCAAGCCGTGATGCTGCACTGGCGATCAGCCCAAGTCCCGACGGTAGGAATGGAGACCCCGGCACAGGTTTCGGCGAGGCGAGAGAAGCACCAGGGTTTAGCCGCCACGGTACCTTTTAATATTGGACGAGTGCGATGAGGGACATGTGACGGTCCAGGGTGGGAGTTGAATTGGGGGGGGGGGGGGCGGGTTGGAAACAAGTAGTCTGTCGACTTTTTTTGTTTGTGCTAGGGGGTGATGGCTGGAGAGAGGGCTAGTATGGCAGTGCGACAGCAGAGATGAGAAGGGCAATAATGATGATGGTGGTGGTGGTGGTGGTGGCGGCGGCAGTAGTAGTGGTGGTAGTGGTGATGGTAGTAGTAGTAGTAATGGCAGTGGTGTAAGATGGCAAGCGAGAAAGAAGGAGAGCGAGAAGCGTTTCTTGCGTGGCTAGAGCGGCAGGCCCAGCAGTCGAAATGGTATTCCCATGTGGTATTGTATGTATGTGTGTAGGTAGGGGAGGGGAGCGAGGGGGGAGGAGTTATGCATGGTTGCGTGCTTGTGTTTCGTGAATACAGCCCAATGGCTCCGTAAAGCGGGTACAGCTGAAGGCGCTTGCTTGATACGGGACGAGGCACGCGAAGCGAAAAGTCGAGGGCTCTAAGACTACACGGGACGCCATCTCCGTGGTGAAATCGGATGCAGATCCGGGTGGTCAGGCTTGGACAAAGTCAGAGCGACCAAAGCCTCATGTTCCAGAAGATGATGGGTTCGTGCCTAAATGGCAGCAGTCCACAGCGCTTCTCCCAAAACGCGGCAGGGAGCGCCTCTTCGGCGAGATTCTAGCAGGGGTGGTGCTGCAAGTGGGAATTGAAGGGCTTTTTTTTTCTCGCTACCGCTACCGCCGCTGGCTGGCTGGCTTCGGGGGAGGGGCCAAGGTGGTGTGCGATGGACGGCAGAGCACGAGCGCGAGCGCGAGGGGGGTCGGGGAGGGGAGGGGAGGGGGAGGGGGAGGGGATGCATGCGCCACGGAAGCCGGGAGAAGCAGATGGGCGAGACGAGACGAGACGAGATGAGCACGAGCAGGAGCCGACCAGGAGCCGGGTGAGGGTGAGGGTGAGGGTGAGGCAGCAGGCGATATGCTGGCGGGCGGGAGTTCTAGGGCTGGGCTGGGCTGGCTGGGATGGCTGCGTGCATGTATGTGTATGTACAGTAGTGTGGGTGTGTAGAGTGTGTAGGGCAGGATAGGGCAGGGCAGGGCAGGGCAGGGTACAAGCCACACACCCACAGCACGTCCAACGGCGCATGCATGGGTCGACGCCACAGGTGCGCGCGCAAGCCACACGGCCTGCCAGCCTACATGTACGTGTGCCATGACATTGGCGAGGGCCACGGTGACAGACGGACAGACGGACAGTCTACACAATCCATGTATACACATGGCGGCGGCGGCGCGTGTCGTGTGCAGAGCGAGCATGGCGTGGAGAGACATGGATCCATGGCACTGGGCGTGTGCAGGTGGCCGAGAGGATTGATGGGCCATGTAGGCAGTGGTAGTATCCATCCAGTACTACGTGGGTATATACGTGGGTGTACTATGCAGTGTGTGTGTGTATCCAAGTGTTTCCCCACGTTTGGCGTCTGTGTTCGTGTTCGCGCCCGTTCCGACCAGCCCCACCACCACGGCCGCCACGACGACGACGGCAACGGCAACGGCAAGGACAACGGCCATGTCACCATCTCTGCTGCAACACGGCGGGCGCAGATGGGTTGCGTCGCACAGCAGGCGGGCGGCCACGGTGCAGGACGAGGTGCAGGACGAGGTGCAGACGAGGAGCAGGCTAGACGGGTCAGGCCTCAGGGACCGGGCAGGCGCGGCCAAGCAGCGTCAAGGTCAGGACCAAGGCCAGGACCAAGACGGCGACAAGCAACTGCCGAAGCCGCTCGGTTAGACGGCCGCGTTGCTCGCGGCCAGGCTGAGTGGTGACGGGGTGACGGGGTGACGGCGAGCTGACAGGTGCCGTGAGGCGCTGGGCGGCACGTCTCAGCGACCAGCTGGCGTCGTTTCCGATACACGGCTTGGCGCGCGCAGTAGCCTCCGCCATGGACGCGCTGGGGGGGGGGGGGCTGACCTAACTCGGTGGAGGGTAGTCGCATTACATAGCGCGTATACTGCATGGCCGTGTTGCTGCTGCTGCGGCGGCGGCGGCGGCCGGGCGAGGGCGAGGGCGAGGGCGAGGGCGAGGGCGAGCTGGGCGGAGGAAGGTGGTGGTGGTCGAGATCTGCGCAAGTGATCGCTTGTGGATCACCCATGATTGCGCGGCCCCCTGGCGGCATGGTCGGCAGCTTCCGTGTCAGGCATGGCAGCCGAGGCCGCCCTCGCATTCGAGAAGAACGCAACAGCCCCCGCGCCTTTTCGGGCGCGGGTTATACAACCTACCGATAAGCCCGCTAAGCAGAGGTCTGCATTAGCGTTGTAACATCTAAGCTGTATATAGTTAGTACTGTAATAAAACGTCTTGGCGCTCATAGCTATACTTTAAGAAGGTGAATTTAATACTTTCTTCTCTTCTTACGTAGTAACTGGTGCGTATAGGCCTACGAGCATCTTCTTGAGCCTATATGGAAGCCAGTTTCGGAGCCTATATGGGAGCCCGTTTTGGAGCCCATATTCAAGCCAGTTTCGGAGCCTATATGGGAGCCCATATTCGAGCCAGTTTTGGAGCCTATATAGAACACCAAAAAACGAGCAGTATAGCTAGTTCTCTAGCTTCACTTTCTACCACCACTATTTCTATCTCTCTATCGCAGCATTACTCTATTTCTATTAACATAGTAGCTATATTACTGTAACTTACAAAGAATACTACTAATGTTTTAGCCAAGCGCGCTATGCCTGACTCTGGCTTAGCGGGCTTATCGGTAGGTCAAATAACAAATTATCGGTAGGTTGTATAACCGCCGCCGCCCGAAAAGCGCCGTTAGTGATGACAGGCTGGCTGACATTGCCACGCGCCTGGCCCGTCCGCCGCCGCCCTTGGTGGTGCCGGCGCCTGTGCCTCCACTATGCCGGTGCCTGTCCTCTGCTCTCCTCGCTCTTACTACTACATACACCCGTCCCCGTCGCCTGCCTCCCCCCAAACGAGCGCCCGTGTCGCGTGCACGCTGCTGCCCGCGCGCCTGCGCCTGCGCCCACCGCCCAAAGGGCTCAAAGGGCAAAGGGAAAAAAAGGCGAGGGCCAAAAAGGGCTACGAGGCTTGGCTGCTCCCAACTGGCACTGGCGCCTGCCGCCCGCCGGTGGCGACCAGACGACGCGTCCAGCATCCATCCACACCATGATCGGCAGCAGCTTCCAACGTGCTTGCCCCTGCAATATCCGCCTGCCCACACCCATGCCCGTGTCTGCTGCCACTGTGTGCCTGTGCCCGCCTGCCTCATCTCCGCCCCCAGCGCGGAGGAGTACTACTACTTACTACTACATACACAAAAAAACACGCACACACACAAACACGCAAACACACGCATACACATATACGCACACACAACACACACACAACACACACACAGCACACACACAGCACACACATATACGCCAACACCATCCACGCGCACCCTACACCCTACACCCTACACCTTACACCCTACATCCATGTACTGGCCCTTGCCTCACAAATACCTTGGTAAGCAATCACCGTCATCATCATCACCATCACCATCACCACCACCACCACCGCCGCCGCCGCCGGCCCAAAACTGACACACTCGTCTCACACCACTGCCGCCCGTCGCCAGTCTGCCCTGGTGCCACGTCCCGACTGACCGGCTCGCTGAACCCCCCAAAACCTTAACTTGACCACCGAGCAAATGCGACACACGAGCTTGGTCCTTTTTTGCCCGGCATCCGACCGAGCTGCCCCCGGTCTGGCCAGACCACCACCACCACGTATTCGTGAGCCGCCAAGTCATCAAACCTGCCGTAGGGCTAGCTGCCCTCTTTTGTCTTTTTCTTGTTTTTTTTTTCTTTTCTTCCCTTGCCCATCCCAGGCGTCTGGTTAGGCCTGCACAACACCAAAGCTTACTCGCCGCTGCCTACAAGTCTACCCGGCCCACTGCTCCCACTCCCTACTCTACATAGTATCACATGCATGGATGCATACCTACAGTAAGACATGGTCATAATAACCTAGTCGTGCCTCGGCTTTTTTTTTCTCGCAACCTCCAACTTCCAACGTGGGACTCATTCATGTTCAAGACCTGCCACCTCCATGCTCGTTTTCCACGCCTCGCCCCTTGCGGCTAGCGTCGACCCTGGTTGCCTCGGCACAACAACGACTCTTTGTCGCACACTAGACGTCGACAACCCACGTCTCGGCCCGCGCTAGGCACGCTACGCCCACGTGGCTGTTGGCTGCACCACTAGTCATCATGTTCCACCTAGACAAACAAACAATATACATGCACACACTCTAATTCCACCCCCTACCATAACTCGTCTCCACCATGTACACATCTACCTCTTTCACCCTGCCTATAGTAGGAAATAAGCCAGCACGAAAAAAAAAGTTTGCAAAACAGATACATGCTCAGATTTTTACACAAGGAATCCTCGTCCTATGCACCCCCTTGCCCTCACTCTTCTCTACACTCTTCTACTTGGCTCATATATATCTATATATGTATACATATATATATATATATATACCCTCGACTCTTACTCCTCCTCTTCACAAGGAACCCTCGTCCCATATATCCCCTTGCACCCACTCTTCTCTAGATTCTTCCACTTGGCCAACACATGTATACATATAAATCTATACATATACCCTGTTCCTACTCCTCTCCACAAGGAACCCTCATCCCGTGCATCCCCTTGTACCCACTCTTCTCCGGACCCTTCCACCCGCCAAGCACATCGCTCTTGACCTCGTCCTTGATATCCCAAACCTCCACGCGAATAGGCCGACACGTGCTCTTCATGTCCGCCTTTCCGCTTCCACCCTCATCCGCCTGGTGCCACCCCCAGGCGCTCAAGTCCCCCCCTGGACACGTGCTCAGAGCACACAGCAAGTCTTGCTCGGCGAAAAACGTAATATAGCTCTCCGTGGTCGCCGGACTGGCTTCCATGAAATACCGACCCTGCGAGTCCAGCCCAGTCACCTGGAATACATTGAGTACGTCGTGCACGTCAAATTCCGTCAGCCCATGCGGGAGAATCGCTCGCACCAGATTCGAGTGGCAGTGAAAGTCGTAGCTCGATCCTGTAAGCATATGGGACACTGTCCAACTTGGTTAGAACATTCAAGCCCGCCTTTCAACCTGACCTGACGCACGTGATATTCCTGAAGTATAAAGAAGATGATTCGAAATAATGGCAAAAGTAGCGGTCAAACAAAAAACAATACTGTACTACTGAGGTAGGAGAACAAGTTGAAAAAATAAAAGCAAAATGGGCAAACAACAAAGACAATAAACTCACCATACGGATCACATCTGGTCCCCAGCAAATCATGACATCTCCCACCCCATTTGGTCACTCCACCCCTCTCATCTCTTCGCTCCTCTCTCCCCTGGCCTGGCTCCCCCTGGTCTGGCTGCGTGGCCGCATCCCGCACCTGGCACCCGTCGGCCACAATGCCGCACAATGGCCGCATAAAGGGAAGGTTGGACCACAGCCGGTCTCCCTCCCTCATGTGCGACCCTTGCAGCTGCCGTGTCCGCGCCGCCCAGAAGCGCTCGCGCACATCATGCTGGTTCCACACGTTGAGGTCGCCCACCTGCGCCCCTTCTGGCGTCGACAGCCGGAACACCTGGCTCTGCTCTACCTTCCATGCCTTGCCGCTTCGGGGCTCAATCACAAAGTCTTGCCTCTTCAACAGCTTCCCCTCCCCCTTGCCCTCATCGTCTTGCAGCCCCCTCAGCTTCCGGTACACTTCCGTCGGTGGATGAAGCGGCGACTCGGCCGAAGTCGCCAAATACGCCGGCTCGGGCGGATCCTCTTGCGCGTGCACGTGGGCGACCATGTTGTCGTTGCTGACTTTTTTTTCGTCTTCCCTTGCTTCTTTTTTTTTTGCAATGATCTGACCGACTTCTAAAGATGTTAATACACATTAAAACACAAATAACACTCATGCACCCGACCTTTGTATTGCACATCTATTCCATAGCCCGGATCCACTTGGCCCCCCTCCTTCACAGCCGCCGATAACCGTATCCTCCTACGTCACTCGCCCCCCGATGTCGGTTGCGCCAAGTATGCTCTTGATTGCTTCATCCTCATCAAATCCATCATCATTCCAAATGTGCTCAGTGTCGCCGTCTGGCTGATGCATACATTCTATCAACCTAAACCACCGCTTTTTGTTGACACACGTCCCTCATGACGTTTGAAGGCCTCGTCCCACATGAAACACATATGCCCAGAATCCAATTTGCTCATCTCACCCATTCTACGCCCCCTTACGCCCCCCCACTCTGCACCTGACCTTGATCCCCATTGACGGCCGCTTCCAGCTTGTCCACTATAGTCGCGCCATTGGCCCTTTTCTCCTTGTGCGTAGGACTCGACTCGGGACTAGGAATCTCCAGAGTATTGGATCGCTTGGGCCGGAAAGGAATAGGCGTCGTCGGTCTTGACGAAAGAAACTGTGCTTGTTCAGTACGTCTCTTGAACGCCCGCGCATCCATCACCCAAAAAGACTTACCGAAGAAGCGGCACTCAACATGGCAGTCAGAGATGCTTGAACAACATCCTGATGAATGCCCACTCCCCACACCTTCTGGCTGCTTCCGGCCGCGGTACATCCTATGTATGTTGCTGCTTTGGCGTCCTTGCTTGTGCCAATCGTATGCTCGTTGTAATCTACAACATCCAGATCGATACCCAGGCTTCTCAGAGCATCAGCTAGCGACGACAATGCACCATTGCCCGAGCCCTGAATGGTGTGTTCCTGGCCGTCAATCTCAATCACGCCAGTGAATATTCGGCGTAGATTGCGGCTGTTGACGGTCCGGCCCTCTTGTGGTGGTTGAGGTGTCGCTGAGCGATCGGCTTTGATTTCGTAGTCGATGAGAGAGAAGCGGGGGTTACGCTTGAGGTGGTAAGCCTCTTCGAAAAGCACGGTGATTTCCGTGGGCAACAGCTCGCGACCGAGCATGTCCGTCTCTTTCTGCACAATTTTGGAGAATGCAATCTGCAGACCGCGCGGCAGGTCCAGTTCGAGCTGACGCTGGATAATCCAGGCAATGCCTCCCTTTCCACTTTGCGAGTTGACGCGGATAATCGCCTCGTACGTTCGGCCGATATCTTGAGGGTCGAGCGGGAGGTAGGGTATTTGCCATCGGCTCTCGTTTGTCGCGCCGTTCTTCTTGCGCATCTGGAATCCCTTCTTGATAGCGTCCTGATGCGACCCACTGAAGGCGCATACGACGAGCTGGCCTCCGTACGGTGCGCGAGGATGGACTGGAATCTTGTTGCAGCTCTCGACCATGTCAATGACCGACTTGAGATCGGAGAAGTCAATCTTGGGGTGTATTCCCTGCGTGTACAGGTTCAGGCCCAGAGTCACGAGGTCGACATTTCCAGTGCGCTCTCCATTGCCAAACAGCGTGCCCTCTACACGGTCTGCACCCGCCATCTGAGCCAATTCTGCGGCGGCGACTGCACAGCCCCGGTCGTTGTGCGGGTGCAGCGACACGCAGATCTTCTCCCTCTCGCTAATGTTTTTGCAGAAATATTCAATCTGGTCCGCGTACACATTGGGCGTCGACATCTCAACCGTAGCTGGCAGGTTGAAAATAAGGGGGTTCTCGACCGAAGGCTCCCATGCAGCCTTGACTGCCTCGCACACCTCGATGACGAACTCTGGAGACGAGTCTGAAAACGTCTCTGGAGAAAACTCGTATGACCAATGGGTGCCGGCCTGCTCAGGGTCGTCCTTTGTAATTGATCGTGCGTACTTTGTGCATTCGACGGCTAGGGCAATGGTTTCCTCATTGTTCATGTTGAAGACAATCTGCTGGAAGCACGGGCTGGTGGCCAGGTACAGGTGGAGGATGGCTTTGCGCGCGCCCTTGAGGGAGTCGACGGTGCGGCGGATGAGTTCCTTGCGGCATGGCGAAAGAACCTGGATCGCGACATCGTCGGGCACTATGCCGGGTGTTTGGATAAGGCGTTGTGTAAAGTCAAAGTCAGTTTGCGAGGCCGAGGGAAAGGATACTTCAATCTCCTTGTACCCAAGCTTGACAAGCATCTGAAAGTAGTCCCATTTTTGCGCGCCATCCTAGAGCTAGCGTCAGTGTACAGACGCACGCGTGCAGCAATGCGCGTAAAGCAATCAGCATACCATAGGATCGACCAGGCTCTGGTTGCCATCTCTCAAGTCGGTTGACAGCCAGCGAGGGGGCTTGTCAATTGTCTTGTTTGGCCATGTCCTGTCCGGCAGGTGCAATGGCTTGAAGGGTTGATATTTTTTCCAGGGCTCTGCAAGCATGGGCATGTTGAGGGATAGTCGCGCCTTTTGCTTTGCTGATCAATTGATTGGCGCTAGCCGACGACCGGGTGGGGTGTGTTTGTGGAAGGAGACGTGAGTGACGGCGACGGCGACGAGGATGCGGATGAGGACGAGGTCGAGGAGAGGACGAGGCGACGCCTGGAACGTGGGATTTTATGGAGAGAAGGAAACAGAAGTGGAGGTATTAGTCAAGCCGCCTGGGTATGTATGAATCACATCCAGGGCACGGAAGAGAAAACTTTGGGGCTCGGTGATACTCGCACTAGGGCGCAAGCAATGGCATATGACGATGCGGGGCGCACAAATTCGCGGGTGGCCTGTGCGCCCCCATTGCGGGGTCCGACTTCGGGGTGCCAATCCGGCTGTGCGCATTTAATTGCATACACATACGAGCCCGTCGAGCCCGTCGAGCCATGGTCCGCCGCGGCAAAAGTGAAAATGAAAGCACAATGGCCGAGCACAGCAGGCAGAGGGAGCTGAGCGTGGCGGCATCAAGGCAAAGGCGCCTGATCAGGTGCAGCGGGTGAGCGGCTATTCCAGGAACGCCATCTCGCATTCGACCATAAAAGAAAAAAACAAATTACCCGCGACCAAAAAAAAACGCCTGCATCTACCGCTGAATCAACTGTATGTACACCATGTCAATCCCCCCCCCCCGCGCAGCCGGTGCCTGCCGGTCCGTGGCTGACTGCACGCTCCCAGCCATTGATCGGCTCTGTCTAGAAGACGGGCACCCTTAACCCGCAACAGTCAATCTCGCTGCCCTTGACACCCACGGCCCGCCCAAAGTAGAGGCTGCCAAACTCCTGCACAAACGCCCGGTCGGCTTCTGACCATGTGTCCAGTCCCATCCTCGACAGGTCGTCTTTGTCGATACTCAATCCCTCTCCATCCTCGTCGTCGTCGTCGTCGTGCTCGCCCTGCTCGTCGGCGTCGGTCATCATGTGCGACAGCGACTGTATGAGCAACGACGACTGCCGGTGAAAGTATGCAATGATGGCTGTTTCCAGTGACTGCGAGTACTCGGCCAGGCCGCCAATGAGCTCGCGGTCCGTCTCCCGCTCTGCCGTCGCGTATGCATCTTTCTCGCCTGCAGAAGCCCACCACATGTAGCCCATGTATGCGAGCCGTGACCACGTCATGGGCTCCACCACGCTGTCGTCGTATACTTGGTTGAACTCGTCGTCTGCGCGCTTGGTGTCGACTTGGTCGCGTGACAATAGCGGCGCCGCATCGCCGTGCTCGTCGTCCGTGTATGCCTCGGATGCTGTCTGGGGCCGGTTCCGCTGCTTGTACAGCTCTTTGTGTAGAATCCTGTACCGCTCAACGTCCCGCTGGCTAGCCTTGATCAAGCTGCCGTCGCTCGTCCGTATCCGTGGCCAGCGCCGCTCTTGCGGCGGCGCGTCGTATGTGTGGGGCAGCTCGACTATGATGTCGTAAAGCCTGGTCTTTGTAGCCATGATCTCGTCGGTAGTGCACGCAACCCAGCCTACTGGTGACCCGGCACCTGGCCCGTGTCCGCCATGCCGTGGTGTTTGGACAGGCTCGAGGTCGGCTATGTCGTGCACGCCGACAGAGAAGAGGCAGGGCAGACGCAGCAGCTCTTCGGTGCCGGGTACAAGATGCTCGGCATCGCGCACTGATATACTCGACAGGACAGAGAGGTGGTACACTGGCCGCGTCAGCCCAACAGTCAAACCGCGCACCGAGGAGCCGCCAGCAACAACATACCAAACTCACACGCAGTCCGGACTGGCGGGATGCCGACGAAGAGGATGCGCTTTCGCAGCAGCGCGGCCTGCTGCAGGCGAAACACCAACGGGCCAAATACATCGAGGAACCGCTGGATGGACAGGGCTGGGTGGTACTCGGGCAGGCTGTCCTCGTCTTTGGGCACCGCGCTCACAGTCGAGATGGCGCGCGCCCGGCTGTGTCCCTTGGGCGCGCCTTCGGAAGCCTCGCCATGGCCACGCTGGTGCTGGTCCATCTGCTCGCGCCAGAACTCGTCCAGCGGTGCTACCGACTCTGCGTTGTCGGCCAGCGTCGCCGCCAGCGTCTCCAAGCGACCCGCAAGCAGCCATGCCCTCCCCAAGCGCCCGAATTCGCCCTCCTTCTTCACCAGTATGCCCACCGAGATGAAATGGGCGTTGCGGTCCTCTGCGCCTGCGTCGCCCTTTGCAAACGCGCTGAGCCCAGCATAGCCTTGGTGGGTGAAGTAGACCAGGTCCTTCTGCACCGTGTGCAGGCCCGACGGCAGCGACTTGTACTCGACGGCGTTCTCGAGCGTAATGTCGGCGGATGCGGTGCGTTTCCACGAGACCGTATACCTGTGGCTGTTCAGCGCATAGCTCCAAAAAGGTACCCAAGTAGCCGCCATGGCCAGCTGCCGGGCAGTCGCATGCCGTACCCGACCTTGTTGTCGAACTTGATCAGAAACAGCGCCTCGACGCTGGGCGCATCTCCCGCGTGCGGCGAATGCAGAGCCGCACTCGACTCGGTCGAGGCCGACATGGTGGCTGATGCGATTGAAAGCTGCCTGCTGCGCCAGCCGTCATGCAACGGCTGCCAGGGCCGCTTCGCTTACTGTACTTACTTGCGTAGGGGCCGCGCCTCAACTGCAACACCATCACGCCACGCCTCAGCTCCTACCACTACACCTACTCATGTATGCACGCACCCACAAGCTCAACACGATTCAGTCCGTCCGGCAGATATGGCATTTGCCGACATCTCTGCTGCACCAAGCTACCTTGTTTGACGAAACCACTGCCTCAACAGTTGATGTATGCTAAACTAGCAGTAGGTCATCTCAAAGAAAAAAAACCAGCTGGGGATACGCTTGCTTATCGTTTGTATCACCGTCCGACCATCCGACTGTCGGCTCTCCGACCACCGACTATGCCATGTACCACTTTCATACGAGCATGCCTAAGGCTATCCAAGCATCCATGGCCTGTACCTATGAAGCCCCGCAATATTTGACCTGCACCCGTATTTAAGCCCTCTTCGCTCTGCTGTGTGGAACACATTGCTTCTTTCACATCACAGACATTATAGAAATATTCACATCATCCTCAGCTGAACAGCTCCAATATTGAACTGCAAGCTTGAACCCATATCCTACCATGGAAACCGTGCAGCATATCAAGCACTCTGGCCCCGTGCTAGTTGGGAAGATTTCATTGATTGTTGCATTGGGTCTTGGAGCGGTCTGCATCCCATATCTCCCCTGCACTTTCCACGTATTTCTGACTACATGACAGCTTGTCCTGAAATTCACCCTCACCTGCATCTATAATATGTATTTTCACCGTTTGCGCACATGTAAATGTTTGCTTCTACACGAGGAACAACGCTTTCGCTAACTTAAGTACAAGTTCCTGGCCCAAGACTAGCTGCAGCCACTGGAATGCTTTACTATTACAAAATTGTCGTCGGCGATGAGGTTGCATGGCTAGACGAAATGCACAAGAAGTATGGCGAAATTGTCCGTATTGGCCCCGACCGATTGACCTACGTCAAACCCGAGGCCTGGAAAGACATTTATGGTGCCACATTAGGGAAACGCCTAGAGAATCTAAAAGACCCAGCGACCCTACCAGGACTTGCTAATGGCGACAAGTCCCTCCCCGCAGAAATTAACCCAGAAAACCACCGGCCAAGGCGAAGAATGTACGCGCATGCATTCAGCGACAGAGCGTTGAAGGAACAGGAACCTCTGATTAAAGGCTATGTCGACCTTCTAGTCAAGATTATCAGGGAAGACGTTAAAAAGGATGCAGATGTCAAAATGGATATCTCTAAGCTGCTTAACTGTTTTACATTCGATGTTATGGCAGACTTGACGTTTGGGGAGCCACTCGGTTTGCTTCAACAATCGGAGTACACTCCATGGGTCGCCCAAATCTTCCTGCAAGTTCAGAACACATCACTTAGGCGGCTGGGGATTGAGTATAGGATTATCGGCGTCCTACTGAAATATTTCATGCCCGAGGCCATCAAGGAGGGTGCGAAAAACCACCATCGGCAATCTGTTGAGCGAGTAGAGAGGCGACTAAGACGAGGCAACGCCATTGGAAAACCAGATATCTGGAAGCTCGTTATGCAGAACGAAAAGAATCCGATATCGAAAAGCCAGATGATAGCTGATGCATCCGGATTCATGGTCGCTGGAACCGAGACAACGGCCACGACAATGTCCGCATTCTTCTACTACATGCTCCAACACACAAAGCAGATGCAGCGACTTCAGGACGAGGTGCGTGCACTCAAAAAGGAGGACCTGAAGCTTGAGAGCTTGTTGCAGCTACCCTTTATGGCTGCGTGTATAAAAGAGACTATGAGGATTTATCCACCTGCCCCGATCCCGTTGTTTCGCAGAACCCCAAAAGGTGGCAACATTGTTTGCGGAGAATGGATTCCAGAAGATGTGAGCGCATTCCTCATGCCCAAGTTATGGTACCCAACTGACCCAGAACTATCAGACACGCATCGCAATACCTCATCATGCTGCTTACCACCATCCTCTCAACTTTAAAGATCCTGAATCATTCGTTCCTGAGCACTGGTTCCCTGGTAATGGCTATGATGACGATAGGGAAGACGTACTCAACCCATTCTCCGTTGGTCCTCGCAACTGCATCGGCCTCAAGTAAGTTTATACACATGTTGGACTGTGCTTAATATAGTTGAATAAACTACTAACCTAACGATACAGTCTGGCTTATCATGAGATGCGCATTATGCTTGCAAGTCTCATTTGGAACTTTGATTTTGAGCTATGTACAGAGTGCGACAACTGGGACAATCAGAAGGTGCGCTTCTTTTGGGATAAGCCGCCACTTTTCATCAAAGCTAGGTATATTAGATAACTGTTCACATACCGAATACGACTATGCTTTCATAGCCTCGCCACACAGGACATTCTCCGCCGAAACATCTATCTCCTAGAGTTTTATTAAGGGTATCAATCGTGCAGCTGAAAACATTCCAAAGCACGGCACGTCAATTCGAATAACAATGAATACGATGCGTATATCATACTAGACTCTTCTGCAAGAGCAGGGTCGTGGATGCTGACAAATGGTTTTCCGATTCGAAAAAAGCAACACGTTCAGTGCTGCGTATGAAGAGACATGTAACAAGCGTGATGATAAAGTAACATGTGCGCGTGGTACGGGAATCACTGGTAGAGTTTGGAGAGATCGCATGCGGGACAGTATTCTTTTCGGTCTCACTACGGTAGGCATCGTTTGTCTAGTATGTGTCGAGATCACTTATATTCCAGTAGCGGGCACACTTCTGCACCAATCGAGGCGGACGAGTCTCCACACCTAGTCCGCATGTATAGTACGAACTGCAGAGATCCCGGCCCTAGTTTACCTAGCTTGTAGTTGGTCTACTAAAGTTGAGCGTCTCATGCTTTGCATGCCGAGTACGCTACTGAGACGACATGATGTATCTCAACGATAGTTCTCTTGCCACATGAAGCACTCGCGTGAATGGGAAGGTGTATAGTCAAGATTTTAGGGTCTCTCCACCGATTTTGCAGATTCCTACCTCTAGTCTTGTGCTATAGCTTTTCCGCTTTGTAAATACATAGATTTTGTTCGATAAAAGGAGATGCTGATAGATCATAAAATTTTGTTGTGTCCTCTCGTCTCGCAAACATTGGTGGCAGTTCTTGGTTACTGGACCAGCTATCGCGGGCGACTAGTAGTGCATCAAACCAAGTTAGCCTGGAGAATTGTCAAGCGGGCACAATATCAGGTGGGTTGATATTGGCACTTGGACATGAGCTATCGTTACGCCGCAAAACCTCCTTTGTGTATATACTTTACGAGAACATTTGCACTAGCTATAGCTTTGTACAGACAGTGATTCATAAGTAAGGTGATTCGCATATATTTCTGCGTTCTTGGTAACATGAATCATCTGTCGCTGTTGTATGTGAATACGGAACAGCAAGCTAGTGATTCAAGCAGATGTTGTATAGTACCTTTGCGTCATATCTTCTTGTGAGAGTGTGTTGAGACTAGGTTTGCCATGATCGACGTGCTGAAAAACGGAGAAAGTTGATGAGAGATGTGGTCATGGAGGGCAAGAAACTGATCAATAAGCTCTGCTATAGTCGTCTTTTTCATATTGCCTGACGGTACGATATTGTGATAATTGTTTCCTCACATTTACTTCCACGTCTACGTCTTCTCACCGTGTGAGAAAAAGAACAGAAGACGATGACTGACTTCTTGTATCACTTTGATAGTATTATGTAGTCATTTCCTCTACAACATCTAGTAGCGGCTATGAGAGAGTGATCTCTTGATACTGCCTGCGGTTATGAGTGAATTTGATAGTTGCAACAATGGCGGCTTAGCACCTTTACTTTCTGACCCAACTATCTCTGTTAGGACTTGATACAGGCAGTTGCACGGCAAAAGACTAGCTACTAGATTAACCACCCCAGGCTTGTGATCTTCCTTGCGGGTATCTAACGATTAATTTCTCCCATCTCTCCCCCCTGCCCACCCTCTCTCTTATCAACATGCTTGTTCTTCTCATCTTCATCGCTAACAGTAAAGGCACCATAATGCGGAAACGAGAGCACTGGAAAACAACTTCCTTTGTCTCATTCGGAAATGTCTCTGGAATGCGGAATCTGCCATTTGTAATGATTGCTTCGCTCTACATTAGAATGATATGGAGTCTGCAACACATGCACAGAGGAACGCTCACTACCCGCGTAATGTTCATAAAGCATTTCTAAACAGAATTCACCCTTTGTGGCAATCACTCTACTAAACGTACATTGGCACTAGAGAGTGAAAAGCACAAGGAACAAAATCAAAGCCATGATTGAACTGCGAGTTGCATTCCGAATGACCTTTTACAGTCAATGATTCAACAACCAAGATTGCTACCGCAATATCAGCACTAGCACCTGAAGGAGCAAGGCCTCCGGCTTGGCGACTTGTTCCTAATCAGGCTGCAATAAGTATGCTCATTATACAGTCAAGGTCTACAGTGCTCTTACAGCGCTAGGTTTGGCGCCTCACCCAATTAAGTTGGGTCACGAAATGAGTAATGCCTGCTTGGAGTTTGTGGCAGCGTTGTGAAAACCAGCTCAGCAATGCAATCTGATCATTTTAACATGTCTTAACCTCGCTCGGTAGCGTTTGAATTTAAATGACTGCTTGGCAGGGGCAAATGATGCCATGTCGCGTGCCGTGTAGTAAATGCAAAGCATTCTGAAAGGTGTGCAAGAAACAGTTAGTGTAGCACTTCTGATTTGGATTTTTAGACAGGTTTCAAGACTAAGGATATGATGAAATAAAGATCAATGTCTGCCATATAGAATCGTTAGGCTAATACTTCATTTCCATTACAGACTTGATCTGCTCCCAATATTCCAAAATGCTCTGGAAGCAATTATTCTTTCTGGCCGCCGTCATGGCTTCGCCCGCCTTCTCGGCCCCTGCACCCCAAAGCAAGGTACCCTCATCACAACAACTCACTTGTACACCGAACAATCAGGGTGTAGACGTCTGCTGCGATCAATTCGGTGGCTGTATATTCCGCAAGGGTAGGCTTTGATTGTCATCACGTGATCATGGCAAGTTCTGAAACACTCTATAGATTTGGGTCCCGAATTCGCGGATCGTATTGTCAACAAGAGGGCGCCTGAGCCCAAGAACCTCAACTGCACACCAAACAATCAGGGCGCTATTGTCTGCTGCGATGAATTTGGTGGCTGCGCCTTCAAGGAAGGTAAGTCCTCATGTGCGTCACTTAGCTTTGACAAGTTTTGATTTATAGATCTTCTCACGAGGGCGGCTGAGCCCTAGCGCTTCAGCTGAGCACCAAAGAATGGGAGCGGGAGTTCCTGTTTTATCAGGTTGGTGACAGCGCTCTCCATAGTGGTAAGCTCCTTGATTTTTACTCTGTGCATAACAGGTTCTAATAGCTTTCATCAAGATTTGCTCGTCGGAATCATGGAATACATCCCGATTCACTGTCTTAAAGAGGCTAGTCTAGTTGTACGAGTGAGTTTCAAACTTGGTAGCATGCAGGCACAGCCATCTAAGTGTTTATGGCGGTCTGGGAATGCATCTACATAATAATGTAGATTTGTGTTGAACACGAATACTATATAGATTTACTTCTTAGTATATTCCCCTAGCCGCTATCAAAATATGTGCTTCTTTTCAGGATTTAGTGCTACCCAAATTCTAGAACAAGTTTTACAACCCGCCAATCTTTCCAAACTTGGGAAAATGACTTTCTGAGAGGCAATGATCTATGCAGAGGGTACATGGTGATGGTAATTCGCTACAAGCTGGAGAAGATACAACAGCTCAGGACCTACTACTCCTTCACTAAATCCTTCGTACATATACAAGATGTTAGATACTAGAACTAGATGCTGATTAAAGTGAATAGGATGGTACGATACCTATTAGTGCCTCCCTTCTGCTAATATTCTAAGGCTCTCTTGAAATTATAAAATGTAGAATTTAGTGTATGTATAGACTAAGTAATAAGGGGCGTTTAAATAGTAGTAGTAGGCTTACCAGGATGCTAACATATGGTTATCTCTTTATACTAATCATAATCTAGACAAATACTAGAGAGTTTGTATTATACTAAAAGCCATCTAATAGATATCACAAGTAAAACTCTATACGATATGTTGTACTGTAGAGATTACGACTAAAAAAGATAAAGTGTGCCTACAAGATAAGGTATGAATGTAAATTATTGATTCTACTTTTATATACAAGTGGACTTGGTGATGATGTTTAATCTCAGAGTTATAGATTTTGGTAGTAATAGCACTTTGCAGCAGCTCTATAGACTTGTCTTTGTAGTGATGTTAATCATGCAAATTGGATGTTGCCTAGTTGGAGGCACTGGCCTGTCTGCTAACCTGCATGGACGCGCAATGACCCAGGACGCGCAATAACCCACCCCACCAAAAAACCTATTGCAAAAGATGAGGCTGTACAGCCACCTATAGTTGCTATTATTACAAGATTTTATAGTGTTATAGTAATTATAGCATTGCGATTATAATAGGCTACTTGTATCTACTTAGTAGCTTAGTAGTGCGGCCATAGCAGGTGGTCTAAGTTAGGATAGCTAGTGTAGCTACCTTAGCTTATACATAAGATAAATTAATAACAATACGTTTCTAACGCTTCTGCTTTTAAGAGGAGCCTTGTAAGACTTTGCGCTTACCCCTTTAGGATAATTATATAGCTTTTTTAGCCTCTTAGGCTGCCTTTTGAGCCTCCTTTTGAGCCACCTTGGCGGCTCTCTCCTTCTCTCTCACCTCCTTGAGCCTCTCTCTCTTAACACGCTTCTCCTAGGCTATTTGAAGCTTGTAAAATTGAGCTTGTCTCTTTAACTTAGATCTCTTAGCTTTCTAGAGTTATAATTGCTATTGTTCTTATTGTCATTCTATCTCATCCTCTTTGGCTTAGCGAACCTTCTTAGGAGACCAAAAGACAGCTCCTCTATAGTACTTCTTAGGCCTATTAAGTTAAAGCGTGTAGCTCTTCTTTTAGTGTCTCTTTTTAACCTTTAGAGCCTCCCTTAAGCCCTAGTTTTCTCCTTTAAGTATACTATTTTAAGCTAAGAGGTGATGGAGGCTTTAGCAAAGCTTTTTTACCTCCTTATTATTAAAATCCTTCACCTCCTAGCGTATAATAGACTTAATTTTGAGCTAATTATCTCTACTAAGGATAGAAGAAGAGCTTTCATCTAAACTAGAGGCCTCTTGTTAGAACTTTTAGAGAATAACCTCAGCATTTAGTAGGTTAATGCTAGTTGCCTTAAAGGAGCTTATAATAGTCTCCTTTCTAAAAGCTATACCCTAAGCCCTCTAAAAGAGCTTAAAGAAACCTCCTTTTACTAGAGGAAGGATTCTATAGCTCTAATAGAGGAAGTTTAATAACTGTAACGGGCTGAACGCCCTTTGGATAGCTCCTCGATGGAATCTTAGGCCAAGCTGCGCGCGCACCATCTGAACTACGTTCAGACTAAGCAGCGCTCAGACAACGCGCTCAGATACTCCGGCATAACCTTTCTCCGATAAGTAAATAAACACTACGTAAGTAGAGTAGATAGCTCCTTATTAAATACAACCTCTTATATACCTCGCGATTGCTCCCTAAAGCATAGCCCCTTATATTTTGTATTTAATCCTAATTAGACATAAGCCTTAGGTAGACTATCTTCTAACTAAGTTTTAAAGCGTATTATTAGTGCGAGCTAGTAATATAGAGTTAGTGCTGTAATAGGTATAAAAGGCCTTTAGTGCAGCGAGAAGGTAGACCGTCGCAAGACAGTACACCTAGGGCAGAGCTTCGCAGGAAGTTTAGCCGTGAGAGATAGTAGGCGAATTAGTCGCCTAGGACCTGTCTAGGAAGTCCTATTGTGTCTTAGAAAGCCAAGCCGTAGGCACAACGTCGCGTAATAAACTACCTAAAGGCCACTCAGGCCTAGTGTACAGTTAGCTAGAAGCGGACGTTGTAGTAAGAAGTCCTGTCGATCCTCTATCGGACGAGGTGCAGGCCGTGCGATTACTCTCAATAGGAGACGAGATCCCACGAGCGAGACGGCAAGACGTGAGTCTTCCTAGGGACGCGACACAACAGCGACAGAACGCTATTTAGATTCTGGCTAGTAACAAGGACAGCCGAAGGTAAGCCCTACTAGTCCTCACCGACGAGGAGTAGGCCGCAGTCTAGGACTGCGCGAGCGGATCGAAGAGCGATCGGAAGTCCTGCATATTAGCAGGCAAAGAACGAGACGTCTAAAATGAATTAGGCAATGGAGATTAACGTTCCAAACTTGAATGTGGAAGAGCTAGCGGCGTACGCTGCTGCTAAGAACCAGGCAGGAGTATCAAATAAAGAGATCTTGCGCGAAATTACACAAATGCTTAGAGAGGATGGATGGAAGGAGGCAGCAATTAGGCCAACAATTAAAGCGGTCGCCAAACGATCGGCCGTTGTGGGAGGAAAGGGCTCACTAAGGCAAGGAGGCTTGCCGAAGGCCAACTAGGATGCCATAGCCTAGATGATGGAGCTAATGAATCAGTTAACAGCCCAGAACCAGGTGCTAACAGAACGGCTCGTGGCACTCGAGCGTAACCAAGCTAAGGGGCGTTCAGAGTCGTCCTATAGAGCCTTCACGCCTCCTCTAGCAGCAGCTGCAATCGCTAAGCCAGCTACGCGCAGGAACAAGTTCCCGCACCTAGAACTATTTAATAAAGATTAAACAAAGTACGTAGCGTTTAAATATAAGACTTAAGCTAAGCCCTAGCACGAGTACAAAGGAACTTCAAGCCTCGCTCAGATTGAGTACGTGGTTAGTAGGTGTACGGGCAAGGCAGCGGATGTACTTCTACCCTAGGCAATACAGAACTAGAGTAAACGCCACATTAAAGACCTCTAGAGCTTTATGGACCAGCAGTTTAACGACCCACACCAGAAGTCCAAAGCACTCAATCGCCTTTTAACTCTTAAACAAGGCAAGCTCTTAGTAAGAGACTATCACATAGAGTTTAACTATCTTAAGATTCAGTTAGGCGAGCAGTTTAGCGAAGCAGCTAAGAAGAGTATGTTCTTAAAGGGCCTTCACACTAAGCTGCAGGAGGCTCTTGCTACGATTGATGAGAATCTATCGTACGAGCAGCTAGTCAATAAGGCAGTAAGAACGTCCGACAACCTCTACCGGGTAGGTCTCGTTAAACTGCGCGCAACGAGCTCCTAGGTGGTAGATCGCCCTACTATAACAACCGCTTAACACGAAGCTAGTCTGGACGTTATAGACTAGGAGCCTTTAAAGGTTAATTAGGCGCGAGAGGCTAGAGGCAAGCCACAACAACCTCCGCCTGACTGCTATCGCTGCGGAGAGCTAGGTCATATCGCGAAATACTGTCAAAACGCCACCTAGGTCAAGAAGGCAAGGCCCGCGCCAAGCAACGTTGGACATAAGCCGCAGGAGGAAGTCGATCAGGTGCTGAGTAGCGAGTTGGAAAAAGAGTAGCTCTAGACTAGAGTCTTGGTCTAGAGCCTCTAAAGATAGATTAGCAGATACGTAGCGAATAGAATTAGTTTTAGCAGAAGTATATGCGTCCTCTACTAATTACTGTAGATCTTATCATGAACAACGTAGTAAACGCTGTTGCGCTTATTAACTGCAGATGCCTATGCTATGCACTAATTAGCAAGAGATTTGCTTACCGCCACTATCTAGAGCGCTTTTAAATACCTGCTTAAATAATTAAGGGGGTGAATAGCAAGCTATTAGAGATTAATAAGGTTGCTTAATTCTTGTTTAAGATGCATAGGTACAAAGAGACTGCCTACGCATATGTAATGAATTTGTCCTCTAGTAAGGACATATACCTTAGTAAAGGATAGATGAACTACTAGGACGTGTCAGTAGCCCCCGCTAAGAAGAGCATTTTTATCTACTTAAAGGGCATTTAAGTAAGGTTAACTAAAGAGGCTCTACTAAGAGGAGTTAGCTAAGTTAACGCCGCAGCGTTTGTGGCCCTAGTTCGCAGATATAAGAACGCTCTAAACAGCGTTTAGATCTTCGCTGCGTTAATCGCAGATATTAATAAGGCGCTACAACCTAAGAAGCCCATAAACGTACGAGCACTACTACTAGCGCAGTATTAAGAGTTCTACAAGCTCTTCAACCTAAAAGAAGCTAAGAAGCTGCCACCACACTAAGGGCTAGGAGTGGACCACAAGATTAAGCTAGAGCTAAGGGATGCTTAACCGCCATAGGGACCTCTTTATAGTATGTCGCGCAGAGAGCTTCTAGTCCTTTAAAAGGAGCTTACGTCACTCCTTAAGAAAGGGTTTATCCGCGTAAGCAGCTCGCTAGCCTTAGCTCTAGTATTATTCGCTAAGAAGCCTAGGGGAGGGCTCTAACTATGTATCAATTATTAGGCTCTAAATGCGATTACAAAGAAGGACTAGTATCCATTACCACTTATTCAAGAGACGCTCAATAGCTTAAGCAAGGCTAAGTGGTTCACGAAATTAGACGTTATCGCAGCCTTCCATAAGATCCGCGTCGCACCAGGCGATAAGTAGAAGACGGCCTTCTGTACGAGATTCGGATTGTTCGAGTGGCTAGTTATTGAGCTTTGTTTATTACGTAGCTTTTATAAAGTTGAAATTATTGATAAATACTTATAATAAAACTTATAGATAGCTTATAGATAGCTGTTACATTGTTTTAAGGGTGTAAGGGGCTGCGC